CCTCCAACTAGCTCTTTATTACTCCAGGGCATTTTAAATTGTTCTAAATTTGTTTTGGAGGCTATGGGTATACTCCCCTCTGTATGCATTCATAACCCCCATTAACTTCCATGGGAATCAGATATACATATATCAAAGTGAAACGAGGCTTTTGTATGTTTAAAACTGAATAAAATCTATTTGTAATAAAATTAAAAGGAAGAACGAAAATCTGGGGAAAACAGTGTAAAAAATATGAAGCCATGTTGTGCATAATTAAAGGAGTTAACATTTATGGATAACTAAAATGGCATACCACCCTCTGGCACTATTTCCAATATGTCCTCAGTTTCAAGTTATTTACTGTAAAGCACCCTTATTTTAAAATGAAATGTGTGTAACTGTCTGACAAACTCTGCTTAGCCCTGTGTGTCTTGGTTCTGTGTTATAAATACAGAAGAGCAAAAACACTGTTTTGACCAATATTAAGTCACCTGTGGGTAGAATTTGATTTTACCTATTTACCGTCAGATTTTAAAATTATGTCATAAATACTTGCAAGATTTGCATATGTAAGTCCACCTCCATATATGCCCATGAAAATTGAGTAATGGAGTTCCAAACAGTCCAATTTTTTCTTATAAAACCAGATCTGTGTAGTGCATACCCTGTCTATGAACATTACTAGGAGGCAAATACAAACTTTACATACATATTTTAGTGATCCTTTGAAATGTTTGCTTTGAAATACAGATATATCATACATGCAAATAAATACACTAATTCATCCATGCATTTAATGATATGAAGTCAACTCTAAACCCCACAGCAGTAAGAGGTGCAATATTAAAATTCATTTCCACTTCACAAATAAACACTGTGCACTTCTCAGATAAAATGTGAGAAAATATGAAACTAGATGTTTTTCAAACAGTTTAAAATAAATGGATCTTTTACTGAACTACATGGTCATTCTGGAGAAATCTGGTAAGGTTTTTCTTCAATTGTGCTAAGTTAGTGTTTAGTCATTCGGTAAGTAAATAATACTTTATTAAGTCATACTCCTATGAAAGGAAAGCATTAAATGCAGCTTTCAAAAGCACCCACAGAACATCTAGGAAGTCAATAGCTTGAGTGAATATGTTGTTCCCTTATATAGGAAATTACAATGAAACTAGATTTGAAATAAGCATCGTCAAGTTAACAGATATGTATGATGGCATACAGATGTTTTAGTAATGTGCTATTCTAAGCACAATATGATTTTCCATTCCCTAAGCATATTTGAATGGAACCAAGTTATCCTATTTGAAAATCCTGAAGATCTTCACCTTTTTACATTCTCTTAAATTTTTCACATTCTCCTTTGGAGCAGCTATAGTCTGTCTCCTCAAATGAAGTGAGCTACCCAGTCTCAATCCGGAGCGTTTAATTAAAGTGGCTATACAATGGCAACTGTTTTACAGAGATGTCAGATGACTTCCTGAAACTTTTGCAATAACAATAGTAATTTGTACCCCTACTGTAGTATAAGAACTATGATAAATACTTTATAAACAGATTTGCTAACCCTAAAGTGAGTCTACAAAATACGTATTTTACAGATTTTAAAAAACAAAAAAAGCAGATGTCAGATAATAACGTGTGAGAAGCTGAGGAGGATTCACATCTAAGGTCATCAGCCTCCAGTGGTGAGCTCCCTTCTACATCCTGTGGATTCCCCCAGTGTTAGAATCTCACACACTTCACAGAGTGAATACCTACATTCAGGTCCTGCCACTGTTCAGGAAAATCCTATAGAATGTGGCCAAGTCAGCTCAACTTTTTAATTTGGCTCAAGTTAAAAAACACCAATTGAAAGCTATCCAACCAGGGATTGATGGAATGAGATTAAAGAAATGAAGTCATGAGAGATGACACCTGAAACTAAACTCAGATCCCTACAAATTACAATTCAATGTTCACTACTCCTCTCTTTCTCCAAAATGCTAAAATAGTACAAAGAATACAAAATCGAAAGTAAAGACCAGAAACACATTGTTATCCCCAACTCATGGAATGACAATATTTCAGGAGGAAAAATTTTAATTCTTATCTAGAAGCCATTTCTGAAAAACAAAAATATTTAAACCTTCTTTAAATTAAGATCTATTTATAAATTTGTTGCTTATCCTTAAATTACACCTAATAAATTCTTTTTAAACATCAGATCTTGACAACGAACTTGTGGTAAAAAAGAATAATGTGGTAAAAGTAAATAGTTGGGGTTTTTTTCCTGTTTGTTTTGTTTGTTTTTTAGCTAAAAGGGACCTTAGGGAATTGGTTTATCTAATCCCCTCATTTAAACAGAGGGAAAAAACAATTATTGGTATTTTGTTTAGATATAAGAGTATTACCATGACATCTTACTATAAATGTTCTCATTTTGTCTCAACATAAGAAGATTGTGTTGGGGATTACTTTTTTAAAAAGCCATTACATTACAATATATCCTTTGTCTCATGACATCTTCCTGGTTGGCTATATATGGCATAAGCGTGGTGATGACTACTCCAGGTCCAGCGTAAACTAAGCCAATGTCATTATTACTAACGTTTTCTATTTGGTTGCATATACACATCCACAAATAACAATTTATCCTCATTTCTTTCCTTACTATAATCTCTGAAAAGGCATGACCCTCTCTGTTTTATTTGCCACTGTCAACAGAACTAAGACAGTGCCAGACACATATTAGGAAGATAATAAATACTCCTTGAATGAATACAATGCCAACTTTTCTGCCAAAAATAAGAAAAGGTGAAACTTAAAACTAACATTTGCCTCTTTACTCTACCTGGGCAAACAGTCCATCAGCAAGTCCTCTAAACTTTCTTAGCTAGTTCTTCAGTCTATTTCCACTACCATCCCTCTAGTCCAAGCAAGTTACCAAGCTCTTATCTCAACTACAGTGAAAAATCTATTCCCTGGCCCCTCTGAGTCCTCTCTGACTTGACATGATCAGGTCTCCACACGCTGCAGCTGAACGGCCCATGACAACATAAGGCTGTTTGGGTCACCACCCCTTCTCATTTCTTAAGGCCACCATAACAAATTACCACAAACTCGATAGCTTAAGACAACAAGAATTTACTTTCTTAGAGTTCTAGAGGTCAGAGTCTGGAATAAAGGTGTCTGCAGCATTGGGTTTCTTCCAGAGGCTCTAGGGGACAATCTGTTCCTTGCCTCTCTCATCCTCTGATGGCTGTCGCCATTCCTTGACTGTGGCTACTCACTCCCATCTCTGCGTCCATCTTCACGTGGCCCTCTCCTTTGGGCTCCTTCTCTTTTGTCTCTTAGAAGGACATGCCACTGGATTTAGGGGCCACTGGGATAATACAGGATAACCCCATCACAAGATCCTTCACTTAATTATGTCTACAAATGCCCTTTTCCCAAATGAAATTACATTCACAGGTTCCACGGGTTAGGACATGGACATAGATTTATGTGAGCCACCATTAAACTTACTACGCTTCTTTTCTCAAGATATTCCCACAATTGCCACTTTTGCTTAGGATAAATATCCATGTTAATAAATGGACTAAAAAATCCTTGAATGGTTTGGCCCTTGATTCGTCTTGTGTTTCTTTCCCCATACCTGTCTAAACAACTTCAACTCTTCCTCTATTTCTGTTTCTCCCCTCAGCATCTTCCTCCCACCTGGGGCAGTTCCAAAGGTTTTTTCTTCTACAAATGGAAAACTCCCTCATACACCACCATACTCAACCTTTTGCAGAGTCTTCCCTAGCACCCCTATCTCACCCCTAGACAAAGCCTGATTGCTCTGTTATAATGAGTAGTAAATAGCTTTCCATAAAAACATATCTGTTTATAATTATTCTTTCATGAGTATGATGATATGATGAATGCCTGGCTCCTCTACTTGTCTGAAGCTTCATGGGAGCAAGAATCAAGCATGTTTATTTAGTTTTTTGTATTTTTTTATTTTTTACCTACCAATGTGTTTTAGAGACTATCACAGGGCATAACACATACTAAGAAAGCAGCAAATGTTTGTTTATAAATAAATGAATGAAGGATTGAGAGAGTAAATTAATGAATGAGTATATTTACATTCAATTTTATTCCAACCCTTTGTGGTCATTCTAGTAAAATGAGTTAACTAGTATCGATGGAATATTGCTATAAATCTTATTTTAAAAAGATTACATATACACCAAACTGACATGCTTACCAACTGAAATGGAAACCTGAGTCATTAACTCAAAATAGAACTGTACTTGTATGTATCAAATCTTCAAATAAGCTTGACTTTGGTTTTTAGTGCAGGCACAGCCTACAATTTCAAGCCTATGAATAACCTGTCAGTTTATCACTAATCACTAAATTAGAGTTAATGGGATCTAATAGATCCTACTTTCCTGAAATTCACTATGAACTAGCAAACCATTTCTTCTAGAAAGAGTAACAGATTTTGTATAAAATATAGCTCTCACCTTTTGTGATTCTGCAAGAACCCCATCCTAACAATGGTGTTAGCTGAGAGAAGACTGGCTCATGTTAAATCCAAAGTCATGAAATATCCAAGCTATAGCAGGGGTACATTTTATTTTATGACTTAAATAAAAACATTTCTAAAATCACATATCCTGTGATAACAAGATTCAAAAAAGAGACTAGGGTTATTGGAACACATGAAATTCAAGCTGAAAAGAATTTAGTTGGTTTAAAATTATTTGAAGACCATATGAAAGTATGGAATCCCCTTCTAGCTTCAGCTTAATACCTACTATCACTATGAGGATACAAGTAGCTAGCAAAAAATCTTTCTGCTTTGTGATTCATATTCCTACATAGAATGTTTCCTAAATTCTGTGTTCACTGAATGAAAGACTATGACTAGAGTATATTTAGTTATTCATCAGTTCATGTATAACATACATCCCAAAGAATTCTCAAGGTTACGATAAATTAAAGCTGTCTGTATTATGACTCCTCTTACAATGAGGAAATAAATCTACCAGTATAATATGTATAATTACTTTTGCATCCTGAAAATTATTAGAATGGTATATGTAGTCACTATGTATATCTACCAGTTTTTCTATATACTTAATACTGAATGCTTTTTAAATGAAAGTCATTTAAAATGCTAAAATCAAGGAATTACTCAGTGAAAGTTATTTTCATGTAAAAAGTTCATCAGAAGTTCCAATTTACTTAAAGACTGGAGGGTTTTCAGGCAGGAAAGGCAAACGAAAAAACAATAAATATATATATATATATAAATAAAGACTGAGGGAAATTTTATAATCATAAACAAATACCCTAAGTGAAGCTAGCATATTCTGCTATATTTTCAAATTGTATAAAGATTATTTCAGTGACTTTAAGATGAATTTTTACATGTGGGTCTCCATTTTGCTGATCATAAAATAACATTATAAGGATTAATTTCAAAAACTGAAAGATTTCCAAATCTAAATAACATAAGAAACAGAAAAAAGATGATCCAATAGTACGGCATCATAAGTATAAACTTCATGTAATTTGTTAGATAACCCACTTTATTTCCTTTGCATTTTAACATTAAGGAGAACTTTCAGTATGACAGCAATCAAGTTCAATCATCAATAAATTCTGTTTGTCACAGGAGGTCATAAGGTGAAGTAAAACTTTTGTATATCACTTCTGGTTTAATTGACTAAGATTCCTTTTAAAATGTTGGTGTTTACCATGTCTAAAGGACAGACGGTATTCCCAGGCTTACCCATTCTCTGACTCTGGGCTTCGGGGACTGGCACTTTTGCTGGGTGGACACCATCAGTACAGATTAGCCCAGACTTATTTCATGGACACTTTCTCCATTTCGACAATGTCACCATAGCTTTGCAGAAAGGACCTCCTAATCGAATTTCTAGATTATTCCCCAAAATCATTTTGGTAATTGTTTTTCTAGAATAAAAGTCAATAAACTATTTGCTCTCTAAAATCTAGTTTTAAGTGGTTTTTTTTTGTTTGTTTTTTTTTTTTTTAGAGTTGCCTATATGACATCAAAGAGTTCATTTGTGAGCACAAAACTTTATGAGGAAAGCTTCTTTGGTCCTTACAGCAACCCACTAGTACAGAATGGTATGCATGGATCAAGGGATAACAATATTTCTATGTTTGTAAGGCAGAAGATACATGGAATATCCTAACTTTAGAATTGTTTCAAATGGAATCAGGAGTGGATTTTATTTAAACAATATTTAAGCTAAATTTAAATATTCCTCTGTGCCTATGGCAAGTAAGGACTCACATATTTTTGTCCAGTATGTAGTTGACAAATAGGCACCTAATAAGCAAAATGATTTCATGAGGGACAAGAGAAAGCACAACATCATTTAATACAATGAATAACTTTATTATCCCAATCTAAATCATCCAACCAGGACCAGGCGCAATGGCTCATACCTGTAATCCCAGCACTTTGGGGGGCCGAGGTGGGCGGATCATTTGAGGTCAGAAGTTCAAGACTGGCCGGGCCAACATGGTGAAACCTCGTCTCTACTAAAAATACAAAAAAATTAGCTGGGTCTGGTGGTGCATGCTTATAATACCAGCTACTAAGAGGCTGAGGCAGGAGAACTGCAACGGAGGTTGCAGTAAGCCAAGATCACGCCACTGCATTCCAGCAGAGAATGCAGTGAGACTCTGTCTCAAAAATTATTTATTTATTTATTTATTAAATTATGGAAGCTTGTAAAAGAAATTGAGGCAAGAGGAATGAAACAGATCTTAGTCTTTATGTAAACTAAACTAATTTTGAATTTGTTATCAGAATTGTTACGTAAAGATGTAGCTTTTAAGAAAACAAATTGAAACTAAAGAGGTAGAATGTGGAGTGATTACATACATGAACTCTGGAGTTAAACTGCCTGGATTTGAACCCTGACTGTGCTACTTAATATAACAGCTGGATGATCTTGGGCTTGCTTCTTATCTGTGTTGTTTTCTTATATGCAAAGGGAGATAAGAATGCCTATCTCATAGGGATGTTATGAGACTTAAATGAGCTAAAATATGAAATTCACTTCAAACAACAGTACTGACATGCTATGCATTCATTATTGCTAATGACTACCTGATTACAGATGTGGCCTCTTATCATATAGTGAGAGAATAGCAAGGAAATATCATAGTGAATGCCCCTTGCTCCACTGGTCAAATTGTCTTCAGTTTCACAGGTCAAGATTTTAAAACGTAGATAATAAAGGAATTGAACACAGTAAGAGAAGGGTCATAAAACTCTGGTGCCTGGACAGTAGTTAAACATTCTGACTGTAAATTCAGAGATGCATGTTTAAATCCTGCTCTGCTACTTACTAGCTGTGTTATCTTGGATGGGTTACATAACGTCTCTGTGTCTCAGTCTCCTACTCTGCAAATTAAGGACAATAATTTGCAGATTATTAGTTGCACCTAGCTCATAAGAATGTTGTGAGGATCAAATGAAATCCTACATATAAAGGACTCATGACATAGCAGGAACTCAATAAACATTATCTCTTTTTATTAAGTCACAGTGCAGCCCATTAAAGAAGACATGGCCTATATAACACATACCTACATCACCCTTAAAATTTTCTAAAGTGGAGGGAACCAAGTAACACACTTAAAACTTTTAAGCAGTACATATAACATTACAACCACATATTATGTCACTGCCATTATATTCTTGCAGATAAGCAAGTATGCATAGGTATTTTCCATCCAATAGTCACAAAATGATTTAAGAGTGAAAGAGAAAGGGAAAATCAGTGATGCCATGGAGTAATTCAAGACAGAAATATTTAATTTCAGTTTGAACTGAATTCTTAGCCTCCACATATTTCTCTAAAAGCAAAGCATTGAGTAAAAATAATATATTCCAAATGGTTTCTGTGGTTTATCCTATCCTCTCTGCGTGGAGTGTGAGAGGTCTTCATGGCCTGCCCACAGTTGTTTGTGTCTGAGTGTTACATTGAATTGGGCAGGCCACGTAACTAGAAGACCTATGTAAGGCCGACATGAGTAGCTCAGTGAAAGAAGACAGTGCTCACATAAGTTTTCAAATACAAAACTTCCTGACACCACCCCAAAGAATTTGTGAAAGCAGTTCCTCAATCAGCAGTTCTCATTTATGTGTGCAATGGGTTCATAGAAAACATGAATTACCTTTCAAAATTGACTTGCCTTTGTTAGTTGATACCAAGAAAATATTTATTCACTCAACTTTTAATTTTCTGTGCTTGGGTTGATCCAGCCTTAACATTAAGTTCATTTAATAAGAAGAAAATGGACTCATAATTGAAACCAAGCTTTGGTACAATTTCATTGATGTTTCCAGAAGCAGGACAGCATGTAGAAAGATTAATAAACAAAGTAAAACTTATTTCTGCCAAGCAATATCATTAACTTTAGTTTTCATACTATGATTCTACCCTTTGAGAACCATGAGAAAGTCTCAAAGATATTAGCTATTATTCATAAATAAACATTTAAAAGTCAGTAACTCAAGACACTAGAAATGTTCCACAGTAAAAGTTGCTAAAATAAAACTAAATTATTTCTCAATTAAATTCTACCCACAGATAAATCAGAACCAAATTTAACTAGAAATATAGAAATTCTAAGTGTCACAAAATATGAGAGGAATGTGTGGTATCTTTGTCTCCTAATCGGGCTCTCTGCCTCCTCCCAACTTCTAGCTGTAAACATAGATCAAAGTTTATTGGTAGAATCTCTTTCTCAGAACATACTCAGTCACATGGCTTTAACTATTTATTTTCTACATATGACTCCAAAGTTTAGTACTTCAGTCCTCAGCTCACATGCATGTTGCAATATATTTTCTCTACTTAGCAGACCTTTCTATTGTCTCAAACTTAACATCTAAAATTAGCTCCACATGTAACTTTTACTCTCCTAACGAATAATCCCACAAGTTTTCTAGTCACTCAAGCTGGAATTCTCCATATGTGACTTCTTTTCTCATACCCCACATGCAGTCAGGCCCTCAAAATGTTTCCTTTGGATTGATGGGCCCCATGAGCCCTGGCCCCCGGTATTCATACGTCCCACACTGACTTGCTTTGGCCAATGGGACATGAGCAAGTGAAGTCTTGATAAATACTTGCACATTGCGGCTTATGCCCTCTTGAAATGCTCTCTCATGGAGCCTTGGGCTACCATGGAAAGGTCGTGCTACTCACCTGAGGAGATTTTTGGAGAGAGGCAAGCCCAGTCAGCTGCCACCTGTTCCAGCCATTTAGAGGAGGTGCCAGGCATATTAGTGAAGAAGTTATCATGGCCATTCAAACACCAGCAAACAACCGGTGAAGGAGAAGACAGCTGAGCTCAACCCAGATAGTAGGATTAAGACAAAGAGTAAGTAGTTATGGTTTTAAGTTACTATATTTTGGGGTGGTTAGTACGCAGCAATAAATACCTGAAATGTTTTTTATGGAGCCATCCTAAAAACTTCAATTCCACAGGAATCTCTGCCCCAGTCAAATACTTATTGCACCCTCTGTGGACTTTTTTCTTACTTCTTCATCATATAATGTATCATCTTGAACCATGGGACTTTTTAATACATTCATGTTTTCTTCTCTAGCACAACTCTAACGGTCTTACTTTCTGAATCTAGAATATCATGGATCCAATAGTTATTTGTTGAAAAAAGAAAAAGAAAGAGAGGGAAAAAAAAGCTAGTACACTAAAAAAGAAACAAATAAGTCAAACTGAACAAAAGTGAACATAAGGCCATGGGTAAAAGTAGGAGGAAGAGTACTGATGTTCCTGCACACTGGGCAAAGAAAAAAAACCATGCTGCATAGATAACTATGACTACAAAATATGGGTCAAGGTAAATGCTTGGAACATTTTCTACTTTGCCATAAGATGATGGGTAATAAAACAGAAATAACCATCTTACAGGAACTTGGCTATTATGTACTGACATCACTTCTTTTCAACATATGCTTTTGTAAGTGAAGAAAATGCTATCAGTGTAAGCACTATCAATATATTTCCATATATATTTCAAATACAAACTGAATTAAAGGAGACTTGAGTTTGCGTTGAAGAGAAGTTACTGACAGTCTCATGTTAGGAATACAGTGAGTGATTGTAATTGACGACAGTTTTAACATGGTAGTAATGAGAACAAGGTAAGTTTTTACCATTTCCCACTCCTATCTTCATCACTAAAATAGATTCAGGGTGTGCCATTTTCTCTTCTAATTAGTCTTTGGCATCAGAATGTTAATGCCTGAAAGAACCTAAGGAAAACAAAGTTTTGTAGCTTTAAGTCTCTGGTGTCTAGAATTGTTAGCTAAGAAAAAAAAATTCAAATACTTCTTCAGAAATTTTAGTGAAAATTGTCTCATTTATTACATGTCGTTTTAAAAACCCCTTTAGAACAAGTGTTTTGTTAATTTGAAAATGAAGTGATAGATATTAAGATACTGTAAATTTTCAATAAATACTCCTGAATTTCTCCTTGTGTTTTGCAAGCAAGTTTCTTTAATAGTAGTACGAGCTAGATAAACCTCACCTGCAATGCTACCATATGACTAAAATAGCATTAAACACAGGGGAAAGTTTTTGGATTACATTTATGGCATGTCTAAATTATAATATAAATAAATTTCAATCATGTCAGCTTGTCTAGAAACCATCTTTGTCACTGAAATTAATTAAGTGGAAACAGGATAGAAGATGTAAGTTATTTTGTTCCCAGAAGGTTCCTTCATTTATCTACCAAATTCACAGAGACTTCACAATTTATCTATTGGAGCAGCATTCTGAAAAATTCAGTACTATATAAAGACCTCTTAGGGAAGTGCTGAGAGAACTTGATTTAGAGCCAGAAGTCTTGGGTCCAAGCAGCTTTTCTATACATTCCCACTCTGGAGGGAAAGCTAATTAATTTCTCAGAACTTCAGTTTCCTCCATCTATAAAATGGGCACAATAATTGATCATGGGAATGTGAATATTAATATAGGTAATGTGAGAAAATACTCTGTGAACTCTATTGCATTGGTTCTCAAAGGGTAGTCCTTAGATCAGCAGCATCAGTATCTTTTGGGAACTAGTTAGAAATGAAAATTCTTTTTCTTTTTCTTTTTTTTTTTTTTTTTTTGTTTTGAGATGGAGTCTCACTCTGACGCCCAGTCCGGAGTGCAGTGGCATGATCTTGGCTCACTGCAACTTCCGCCTCCTGGGTTCGTGATTCTCCTGTCTCAGACTCCTGAGTAGCTGGGACTACAGATGTGTGCCACCATGCCCAGCTAATTTTTTGCATTTTTAGTAGAGACAGGGTTTCACCATGTTAGCCAGGGTGGTCTCAATCTCCTGAGCTCATGATCCACCCACCTCGGCCTCCCAAAGTGTTGAGATTACAGGCGTAAGACACCGTGCCTGGCCAGAAATGATAATTCTTGGAACTCACCCTAGAGCTACTAAAATAGAAATGCCAAGGTGGGGGAACCAGCAACCTCTGTTTTATCAAGGTCCCAAGGTGATTCTGATGGGTGCTGAAGTTTGACATTGCCACTTACTGGCTTAGGCAAAGTCCTTGATGACCTAACTCAGTGCCTAGTTTTCCTCACCTGTAAATGCAGGTTTGAATTGTGCCTATCTCATAGCAATAATATGATGATTAAATGTGTTATCATCTGTAGGGTACAGAGACCAGTGTCACACAAGGGGCAAACATAATTTAAGAGCTGGTTATTATTTTATAATCCAAGCATGATTCTAGACCCTGGGAATATTGAGATGAACAAGATGGATATAGTCCCTGGTCTCACAACCAAAACAGATTAGATGAGGAAACAAATAAATAAGCAGCAGAGCAGAAGCCAAGATAGCCGATTGGAAGCAGCTGTGGTCCACAGCACCCACAGAGAGGAATGAAAGGAGCAAGTAAATTCAACACTTTCAACTGAGCTATCTGGGTTCTCACACTGGGACTGACAAGGCAAGCAGCTTGACCCAAGGAGAGCAAAGAGAAGCAGCATTGGGCAATGGCCCACCCAGGGGTAGGATGGAACCAAGGGAACCCTCATCCCCAGAGTGATTATGGGACCCCCACCCAGGAAACCACACTTCTCCCACATATCTTTGCAACTTGCAGATTAGGAGATCCTCTCATGAGCCCATTCCACTAGAGCCTTGGGTCCGATACATGGAGTTATGCCGAGTCAGCAGAGTGGCCACCCAGGCACACACAGAGACCACAAAATTTTGCATATTCTGGCCCTGGGATCTGTGGCAAGGCAAGAAATCCATCCATGCATGTCACTGAGTTCAGGGAGCCAAATGGCATCATTCTGTGGGCCCATTTCCACAGTGGCTGGTAGGTTGAGACCTGCGGGCTTAGAATTCCAGTTGGCCTATGGCAGCAGGCTGAAGTCTGCCAGAGTTGGGATCAAGTTCCCCAGGGGAACTGCCAACTCTGTGGATTGGTAGACTTAATCATTTCAGCCTGCTGGCTTTGAAGAATACAGGTGGTCTGGACAAGAAAGCGTTCCCCACAGCAGAGCACAGTTGCCTTGTCAGATTGTGGCCAGACCGCTTCTTTAAGCGGGATGCCAATCCATTCCTCCTCACTGGGTGAGACCTCCCTGTGGGGTCTCAGCCACTCCAGCAAGGGTTCTACAGACAAGGCCCTGATCTCTCCCTGGGACAAGGAGAGAGACTCAGCCTATCAGTGTCTTGGTAGACTCAGCCATTCCAGCCTGCTGCCTTTGGAGAATACAAATAGGAAGAAGAAGCGTCCCTTCAATGCAGTGCACTTGCTCTATCAAAAGGCAGCCAGATGGCTTCTTTGGGTGGGTCCCTGATCTCATTCCTGCTGACTAGGTGAGACCTCACAGCAGGGGTCTCCAGCCACGTCCTACAGGCATGTTCAGGCTGGCAACAGGTCAGTGCCACCCAGGGACAGAGCTTCCAGAGGAAGGAGAAAGCTGCCATCGTTGCTGTTTTGCAGCCTTCACTGGCGGTACCTCTGGGAATGGGAACAACCGATGCAACTGCAATTGGAACAGATCCCTAGAAAACCATAGCAGCCCTATGGAAAAGTGACCTGTTAAAAGAAAAACAAACAGAAAACAACAACATCATCAACAACAACAAAAAAGACCTCCATAGAAACCCCATTCAAAGGTCAGCAGCCCATAAAGATGAGAAAGAATCAACACAAAAACTCAAAAAGCCAAAGTGTCTTTTCTCCTTCAAATGACCACAACACCTCTCCAGCAAGAGCACAGAACTGGGCTGAGGCTGAGATGACTGAGCTGACAAAAGTAGTAGGCTTCAGAAGGTGGGTCATAACAAACTTCTCTGAGCTAAAGAAGCATATTGTAACCCAATGCAAAGAAACCAAGAATTGTGATAAAACAATATAGGAGCTGAAAGCGGGAACTACCACTTTATAGAGGAACATGACAAACCTAATGGAGCTAAAAAACACAACACGAGAACTTCACAATGCAACCACAAGTGTCAACAGCAGAATAGGGCAAGCAGAGGAAAGAATCTCAGAGCTTGAAGACTATCTTTTTGAAATAAGACAGGCAGACAAGAATAGAGAAAAAGGAATGAAAGGAATTTTTTTTTAAATCCAAGAAATATGGGATTATGTAAAGAGACCAAACCTAAAACTGATTAGAGTACCTGAAAGAGAAGGAGAGAATGGAATCACATTGGAAAACATACTTCAGTATATTGTCCAGGAGAACTTCCCCAAACTAGCAAGACGGGCCAACATCCAAATTCAGGAACTGCAGAGAACCCCAGTAAGAAACTCAGTAAGAAGATCAACCCCAACACACTTAATCATCAGATTCTCTAAGGTTGAAATGAAAGAAAAATTGTTAAAGGTAGCCAGAGAGAAAGAACAGGTCATCTAAAAAGGGAAGTCCCTCAGACTAACAACAGACCTCTTAGTAGAAACCCTCCAAGCAGAAGAGACTAGGGAACAATATTCAACATTTTTTTTCTTCTTTTTGTTTCTGTTCTTGTTTTTGTTTTGGGTGGTGGCTTACCTCATAGTGGACTACCCATCATGACATTCTTAAAGAAAAGAATATCCAACACAGAATTTCATATCCAGCCAAATTAAGCTTATTAAGTGAAGAAGAAGTAAGATCCTTTGCAGGCAAGCAAATGCCAAGGGAATTCATCACCACTAGGCCTGCCTTGCAAGAGTTCTTGAGGAAGCACTAAATATGGAAAGGAAAACCCATTACCAGCGACTACAAAAACACATTAATGTACCCAGACCAATGACAATACAAGCAACTGCATAAACAAGTCTGTAAAATGATCAGCTAGCATCATGAGGACAGGATCAAATTCACACATAACAATACTGACCTTAAATATAAAATGGGTTAAATTCCCCATTTAAAAGGCATGGAATGGCAAACCTGATAAAGAGCCAAGAACCCCATCAGTATGCTGTCTTCAAGAGACCCATCTCATGTCCAAAGACACACATAGGCTCAAAATAAAGATGGAGAAAAATTTACCAAGCAAATGAAAAACAGAAAAAAGCAGGGGTTGCAATCCTAATTTCTGACAAAACAGACTTTAAACCAACCAAGATCAAAAAGACCAAGAAGGGGATTACATAATGATAAAGGGTTCGATTCAACAAGAAGAGCTAACTACTCTTAATATATATCCACCCAATACAGGAGCACCCAGATTCATAAAGCAAATTCTTAGAGACCTACAAAAAGACTTAGAATCACACACAAGAATAATTGGAGACTTCAGCACCTCTCTGTCAATGCTAGATCATTGGGACAGAAAATTAACAAAGATATTCAGGACTTGAACTCAGCTCTGGATCAAGTGGACTTGACAGGCATCTACAGAACTCTCCTTCCAAAAATAATAAAATATGCATTCTTCTCATCACCACATGGCACTTACTCTAAAATTGATCACATCATTGGAAGTAAAATACTCCTCATCAAATGCAAAAACAAAACAAAACAAAAAACTGAAATCATTACAAATAGTCTCTCAGACCATAGCACAATCAAATTAAAACTCAAGATTAAGAAATTCACTCAAACCACACAGCTACATGGAAATTGAACAATCTGCTCCTGAATGACTCTTGGGTAAATAATGAAATTAAGGCCAAAATCAAGAAGTTCTTTGAAACTAATGATAATAAAGAGGCAACATACCAGAATCTCAGGGACACAGATAAAGCAGTGTTAAGAGGGAAATTTATAATACTAAACTACCACATGAAAAAGCTAGAAAGACCTCAAGTTAACAATTGAACATCTCAACTGAAAGAGCTAGAGAACCAAGAGCCAACAAACCCCAAAGCTAGCAGAAGATGAGAAATAACCAGTATCAGAGCTGAATTGAAAGAGAGAGACAGACACAAAAAAACCTTCAAAAAAATCAACAAATCCAGGAGCTGGTTTTTTGAGAAACTTAATAAAATAGATGGACCACTAGCTAGACCAATAAAGAAGAAAAGAGAGACGAATCAAATAAACACAATCAGAAATGATAAGGAGGTTATTACCACTGACCCCACGGAAATACAAACAACCATCAGGGAATACTATAAACACCTCTATGCACATAAACTAGAAAATCTAGAAGAAATGAATAAATCCCTATACACATACACCCTCCCAAGACTGAACCAGGAAGAAACTGAATCCCTGATAGACCAATAACAAGTTTTGAAATTGAGGCAGTAATTAATAGCCTACCAACCAAAAAAGTCCAAGACGAGACAGATTCACAGTTGAATTCTACCAGAGGTACAAATAAGAGCTGGTACCATTTCCACTGAAAGTAGTTAGTCTAAAGAATTGAAAAGGAGAGACTCCTCCCTAACTCGTTCTAAGAGGCTAGCATCATTCTGATAGCAAAACCTGGCAAAGATACAAAAACAAAAGAAAACTTCAGGTCAATATCCTTGATGAATGTCAATGTAAAAATCCTCAATAAAATGTTGGCAAACTGAATCCAGCAGCACCTCAAAAAGCTTACCCACCACAATCAAGCTGGCTTCATCCCTGGGATGCAAGGTTGGTTCAACATAAGCAAATCAATAAATGTAATTAAATGTGATTCATCACATAAACAGAACTAAAGACAAAAACCACATGATTATCTCAATAGACACAAGAAAGACCTTTGATAAAATTCAACATCCCTTCATGTTAAAAACTCAATAAACTAGGTATTGAAGAAACGTACCCCAAAATAATAACAGCCACGTATGGCAAACCCAAACCAATATCATACTGAACAGGAGAAAGCTGAAAGCATTCCCCTTGAAAACTAGCACAAGAAAAGGATGCCCTCTGTCAACACTCCTGTTCAACATAGTATTGGAAGTTCTGGCCAGGGCAATCAGGCAAGAGATGGAAATAAAGGGATTTAAATAGGGAGAGAGGAAGTCAAATTATCTTTGTTTGCAGATGACATGATCCTATGTCTAGAAAACCTCATCATCTCAGCCCAAAAGCTTCTTAAGTTGATAAGCAACTTCAGAAAAGTCTCAGGATACAAAGTCAATGTGCAAAAACCACTAGCACAACAGGCAAGCAGACAGCCAAATCATGAATGAACTTCTATTCACAATTGCTGCACAAAGAATAAAGTACCTACGAATACAACCAACAAAGAAAGTGAAGGACCTCCTCAAGAAAAACTACAAATCACTGCTGAAATAAATCAGAGGAGACACAAATGAATGACTACATTCCATGCTCATAGATAGGAAGAATCAATACCATGAAAATAGCCATACCTCCCAAAGTAGTTTATAGATTCAATACTATTCCCATTAAACTACCAATGACATTCTTCACAGAATTGGAAAAATCTATTTTAAAACTCATATGGGACCAAAAAAGAGCATGAATAACCAAGAACCATTCTAAGAAAAAGAATAAAGCTGGACCCATCATGCTACCCAACTTCAAACTATGCTACAAGCCTACAATAACCAAAACAAGAACAGACACACAGACCAGTAGAAGACAATAGAAAACTCAGAAATAAGACCACACACCTGTAAACATCTGGTCTTCAACAAACCTGACAAAAACAAGCAATGGGGAACAGATTCCCAGTTTAATAAATGGGGCTGGAAGAACTGGCTAGCCATATGAAGAAAATTGCAACGGGACCCCTACCTTACATCTTATACAAAAATTAACTCGAGGAAGATTAATGACTTAAATGTAAAACCCCAAACTATAAAAACCCTAGAAGAAAATCTAGGCAGTAGTATTCAGGACATAGGCATGGGCAAAGATTTCACGATGACAATGTCAAAAGTAATTGCAACAAAACCAAAAATTGACAAATGGGATCTAATTAAACTAAAGAGCTGCATAGCAAAAGAAACTATCATCAGAGTGAACAGACAACCTACAGAATGAGAGAAAATTTTTGCAATCTATCCATCTGACAAAGGTGGAGATGTCTACGTAATAGACACCTATTAGATGTCTAATATCCATAATGTACAAGGAACTTAAACAAATTTATCAGAGAAAAACAAATAATCCCATTAAAAAGTGGGCAAAGGATAGACGTGGACACTTCTCAAAAGAAGACATACATGCAGCCAACAAACATAAGAATAAAAGGCTCGACATCACTGATCATTAGAGAAATGCAAATCAAAACCACAATGAGAACCAACTCAGGCCAGTTAGAATGGCTATTACTAAAAAGCCAAAAAGCGACAGATGCTAACAAGGTTGCAGAGAAAAAGGAATGCTTTTACACTGTTGGTAGAAGCATAAGTTAGTTCTGTGGAAGATAGTGTGGTGATTCCTCAAAGACCTAAAGGCAGAAATATCATTTGACCCAGCCATCTCATTACTAGGTATATACTCAAAGGCATATAAATCATTCTATTATAAAGATACATGCACGTGTGTGTTCATTGCAGCACTATTCACAATAGTGAAGACATGGAATCAACCTAAGTGCTCATCAATGATAGACTGGATAAAGAAAATGTGGTATATATACATCATGGAATACTATGCAGGCATTAAAAGAAATGAGATCATGTCCTTTGTAGGAACATAGGTGGAGTTGGAAGCCATTATCCTCAGCAAACTAACACAGAAACAGAAAATCAAACACTGCATGTTCTCACTCATAAGTGGTAGCTGAATGATGAGGACACATGGAAACATGACGGGGAAAAATACACACTGGGGCCTCTTGGAGGAGGGCTTGAGAGATGAAGAGCATCAGGAAGAATAGCTATTGGAGAGTTGCTGGGCTTAATACCTAAGTGATAGGATGATCTCTGCAGCAAACCAACATGGCACACATTTACCCATATAACAAACCTGCATATCTGGCACATGTACCCCTAAACTTAAAAAAAAAGTTAAAGGAAAAAAATAAAGTAAAAATAAAAATAAAAACAAATATGCAACGTAATTTCAAAAAGTGATAAGAAGTGCTACAGATTTTGTGGTAATAAGACTGAATGGAGGAATTAGGATGGAAAGGAAGACCTCTCTGCAGTGATAGCATTTAATCTGAGAGCTGAATGAGGAAAAAAAGCAGCCAAATGAAAATCTGGGGAAAGAGGACTCAGGTAGAGGACACAGAAGTGCAAAGGCCACGGGGCAGAAATGCACTGCCTTGTTTAAGAAATAGAAAGAAAGGCCAGGCGCAGTGACTCACACCTGTAATCCCAGTACTTTGGGAGGCCAAGGAGGGTGGATCACCAGGTCAGGAGTTTGAGACCAGCCTGACCAACATGGTGAAACCCTAACTCGACTAATAGAAAAACTAGTGGGCGTGGTGGGGCACACCTGTAATCCCAGCTGCTTAGGAGGCTTAGGCAGGAGAATTGCTTAGACCTGGAAAGTGGAGATTGCAGTGAGCCAAGGTCACGTTACTGCACTCCAGCCTGGGCAACAGAGTGAGGCTCCATCAAAAGAAAGGAAAGAAAAGGAAGGAAGGAAGGGAGGGAGGGAGGGAGGGAGGAAGAGAGAGAGAGAGAGAGAGA